CAGCAGGGATGAGCATAAAAATTGGTTGAGGGCTGTCAAAGTGAATTTTGGATTTAGCACTGAAGGGTGCACAAGAATATTTTCAGTGTGCTTGCAATAAAAAAATGCTTCATGCTCTGCTTTTACATACTACTGCTTTAGCTCATTTTTAATATTGCTTTTTATAGATGGTTAACATCGGACCGTAAAGACAAGGGGTCTTCTACCATACATAAGGATTCAATTTGTATTCTCAGGCCCTAACAAAATACCTGTCGACTGCAATTTGCTCACCTGTGCTTTACAGTATAAATATGAATATAAAATGAAAATTAAGTTTTTCTCAACAGTATCCTCATTTTCATTTATGTTACATTATGACATCCCTCTGCCCACCCCCCGCCTCCTTCTGGTTCTCAACGTTTTAAAGACTGGGATCCATTTTTAAACCACCCTACATGCAGTCCCATGGGAGCCTTAATTGATTATGAGATTATTGGGGCTTAGGTGAACGATTTTAAGGATGCATAGGATGTATTTATGGTGGGCAGAGGTGGGTGGGGCCACCCATCCTTGAAGTTTTTCCACCCAGTCTAATTTCATGGTCTTCCACCCACCCTTATTAACCCACTTTTCCATCCTTAAAATCCACTCATATTATTTACTGTTTTGTTTACCAGTGTTATCACCCATCCTCCCTTAAAATGTCTATCACCCAATATCATGTTTTCTACGGCTACAACCCTACTGAGGGCCTGATATCACCTCTAGATGCCCAGAAATGACATTATCATACTTTATAAAATGCTTACCATTGTCTTAAATTGAACTCATAAAATGTCTAAGCTATCAAAAATATTTTTACTACAGTACCCCACTCCTTGTAAACATCAATCCATTACATTATATTTGAATAATATGTTAATTATATTTTAATAAGTATGAGTATTTAAAAAGATCATGCTAAATAATTAACACTAATGATAGTGAGCTGATTGTTCAGACTAAAATTAGTGGAATTAAGGGTTTTTATGTTTTCTTTTTTTGTAGGGATTACCACATTGTTGCTGTGGAAGAGGCTAGATCATTCATCCACAGATGTATGGTGGCAGTAGGCACACAAGATTCGCATGCCAATGATCTAGCAGAGGTGTTAGTGGCTGCTGATCACCGCGGACATTATAGTCATGGGATGAACAGGCTAGGTAATGTGTAATATTTCATGTTACTGCAACAAAAGTACCTGCAAAGATCCCAAGTCTCTGTAAAATAGGTCGGCATATAAGCAAAACCTCCCGAAAACTACAGTAACCCATCTACTGCAAGTGCATGATACCAGTATTTGCTTGTTTTTACTAATAGTTGTCATATTGTGTCTCTGAAATCAGCTGGCAATGGGCATTGCCATGCGCAGCAAAATACAGTTATATGGGTTTAGAAATATATCCCAGAAGTGATTTCCATTCCAGTCTGAGAGTAATGGTTTACTGTAACATCTACCTTGCAGATTTTAATGATTTAGATATGGAGATCAAATTGATGTTGAACGAGTCTTTTCTTTTGAAAATCATAGGTATCTCTGTTTTTTAACATGGAGCTATACAATAATTATTTTTTTAATTATTTTCTTTTTGAAAACAACAACATTTTAGGGATAATTCAAATGTATTTTCGATTGTAACTAATCAACAGATGATGTAATTTTTCTCTCCCTGATTTTCCAGATATGTATGTAAAAGATATAAAAACTGGTACAACAGTCAGTGATAAGAGTCCAGAGATTTTGAAAGAAACAGCAGCAACTGCATGGGTTGAAGGCAATAATCTTCTAGGACCAGTTGTTGGAAAGTTCTGTACAGATATCGCAATAAAGAAAGCTAAGGAGGCTGGCATTGGATGGGTGGTTGCTAAAGGTTAGTATTAACTTAACTCGTGGGAGTGCAGAATGCACTCCAACGAGAAAGCAAAAGTGTCCCAAAAAACCCACCACCCGAAAATATATTACATGTTTTTACTACTGTATTACCAGTTTTCTCTGGAAGTCAGCTGGTATCACCTTGTAACGCAAAATAAAGTTAGTTAGATTTGTTAAGAAAATTCATTTAAGTGTGTTTTTCCAAATTGGGACCCCTGAAAATACATTTAATGTACAGTAAAACTTACCTCCAGTAACTCGAATAAGAATCTAAGTTGAACAATTTTTCAATACCACTTTGGATTCATCTTAGGCAAGTTCAACTCTATTGCTCGATAGCAGTACTGTGTACCAGATTCAGCTGGTTTTGCCAATTGTATTATACTTTTTTGTGGAATGCATTTAGTAAGTGGTTATTAGCAATACACCATAGAATTATGCCCGCTTGTCAAGGACTTTTCAGTATAGAAAAAAAAATTAATTAATCATCCAATCCTGCTTCCAAATGTCACTGTGCGTGAGCAACACAGTTAATTGTTATTTGTGTACTAGAGAATTTACACCCTGGGTTCTGCCTAACCTCAGAGTTTCAAGTGACCTAACAAATTTACACTTTATTGTACAGTCTTTGTCAATTGTTACTTGTTTTTCTTTGTTTGTATATATGTTTAATCTTGTATTTTTGTGTGCTAACGTCAAGCTATGATTTGGTTTGTTTAGGTAGCAACCACTATAGCATAGCCGGTTGGTATGCACTCAAAGCAATGCAAGAAGGCTTAATTGGATTGTCTTTTACTAACACCTCACCTCTAGTAACACCAACACGTGCTCAGAAGGTTAGTTTATGTGAGATACCTTCAAAGGGCTAAATTTAATACAGGTCTCCCTCTAATTACTGACACCTCCAATTTAAAGACCATTTACTGTGGTCCCATATTAAAAAATGTGTATTATATTTATTATTTTAATTAAAGACCAAAGCTGGTCAAGACAGTGGAAACCCCCTGTTCGAAAAGGGGTCTTTAAAAACCACCTCCAATTAGAGACCACTTTCTGTGGTCCCATATTAACAAATGTCTATTATCGTTACTTTAAAATTGGTTTTTAATTGGAGGGAGAATTGTATCAGGGGTTTAAGCTGTCCACACTATCAAATTTTCTTTGACAAAAATCTGTTGTATGCCCATATATAGTCATGAAGTGCCTATATATGTTCATAATGTGATGTCATCATAACCATATTTAGGCATGTCACATGTTTTTGTCAAAATTTGGTAGTCTGAACAAGACCTTAAGCTCTGTCCACACTATCAAATTTCCTTGGACTGTTGTATGCCCATATTTAGTCATGATGTGCCTATATATGGTCATGATGTGATATATCATGACCATAATTAGGCATGTCGCATGTGCTCTGTTATGTTGTACTTGCATCAGTTGTCCTTACTCTTATCTTATTTAACTTAATACTGTATCATAACAAGTAGAATACTGGTGCTATTTGAACCAAGAACCCAGTTTTTATAAGTGTTAACTTTGTGTTTATAAGATATTATTCAGATGCATTCAAATAACTTGTTTTATTATTTTTTAAAATTATTTAGCCAGCAATTGGAACAAATCCGATAGCATGTGGTGCTCCTGCTACTGGCGATGATAGCTTTGTTCTTGATATGGCAACTTCGGCTGTGGCTGTAGGAAAGGTAGGTACTACTACAGATTGTATCTACGATATATGATCAAGTAGCACCTCTGTGATATGATCACCAGTGCATAGGATCTTTGTGATATATATGGCAGTGGAGATATTCTTTAGTAAGATACAATTTTGTAAAGTGAAGTTAAACATTTATAGCATTTAAGTTGTGTAAACTGTAGCTTACA